CGAGGACTTTTGACATAAAGGCAACAGGGTAGAGAACTCCATCGTGGTATTGGGACAAGATGCCGGCCGAGACGTAGTCGGAGGAGTCACATTCGACAATGACTTCCTTCTCTGGGTCGAAGTGCTTAAGTGTTGGTGCAGAAGTGAATGCTTGCTTAAGTGCTTGAAACGATTTATCACAAGTCGAGGTCCATTCCCACCTTACGCCTCTCTTAGATAGTAAATTCAATGGTTTAACTAACCTCGAGAAATCCTTAACAAAGCGCCGGTAGAAGTTCGAGAAGCCAAGGAACGCCTGGAGGTCTTTGAGGTGAGCTGGCCTAGACCAGTTCGTGATAGCCGAGGTCTTCTCAGGGTCCATTCTCACTCCATCCGTTGATATAATCATGCCTAGATAGGTGACTTCCTGGACTTCGAACTGGCACTTCTTAATGTCCAGCTGGAAGCCGGCTTTTTCGAGAGCCTCGAACACTTGTTCGACCTGCTTACGATGCGAGGTCAAGTCGTCTGAATAGATGAGTATATCGTCTATGTAGGCAGTGCAAAAGATATCCAGGAACGGGCGGAGTACTTCGTTAATCCGGGCTTGCCAGGTTGCTGGAGCGTTCGTAAGGCCAAATGGCATGACTAGAGATTCGAAGAGGCCGTAGCGAGTATTGAAAGCTGTTAGCCATTCGTCCCCCTCCTTAATTCGTATGTGGTTAAATGCTGCAATGACATCGACTTTGGTGAAGTACCTTGCTTTGCTGAGTCGTTGGAGTGTCTCTTGGATTCGGGGTATCGGATACCGGTTTTTGATCGTAATATCGTTTAGTGCTCGGTAATCCACGCAAAAGCGTAGTCCTCCACCAGGCTTCTTTGCGAAAAGTACTGGGGAGGCAGCCGGGGATTTACTTGCTCGAATAAACCCCTTCTTCAGCTGTTCGTCGAGGTACTTACGTAAGACCTCTAACTCTGGGATAGACATATTATATAGAGGTCCATGGGGAGGAGATGAACCAGGCTTCAATTCAATCTTCAGGTCGCAGTCTCGATGTGGGGGTAGCGTATCAGCTTTCTGACGGTTAAATAACCGAGATGACCACTTCTTCAAGTGTGGAGGGAGCAAAGTCTCAGGATCAACGTGCTCTCCAGGGTTGTTGTACTTTGCGAGTGCCTTCTGGATGTCGTCTAGAGAGGCCCCGCAGAGGTAGAGTTCAGCAGCCATTTGGCGAGAATCGGTGGTTTTGTGCTGGAAGTCGTCCTGAATCAGTAACTCCTTTTCCATGCGCTTCTGGCCCGAGAGGCCATCGTCCATCCGAATGCTGTACAAGGTGTCGGGAGTAGAAGGGCTCGCGCCTAACTCCTCTAACCTTTTGTCTATTTCAAAAACAGATAGAGAGAACACTTCAACGCCGTGAGTAGATGCCAGCCGGTTGAAGGAGGCAGCGCTGACTTTCAGGGGCTTAGGGATATGTGAAACGTCGTGACGAGTGCATTTCACTTGAACCGAATCCAACCTCCTAGGCATACAGTGTCCTCTACAGTACGTAGAGCCAAAAACGATACTGTGGTTCGTCCAGTCAATTTGAGGGTTGTGGAGAGCGAGCCACGGGTGTCCTATGATGATGTTGTGGGAGGCGAGTTTAGTAACATGGAAGCGTTGTTGACGTTCTACATGCTTCCCGACAATCATGTCCAAGATAACTATATGAGTAACATCACCTGCTGAAGAAGGTCTCCCGTCCGCGATGCGGAGACGACGAGGCCGAGCGAGTGGGACGAATTCAAAACCACAATTTTGCGCATAATCGGAATCAATGAAATATTGAGCTGAAGCCCCAGAGTCGAGCATAAAGTAAGTAGTAGAAGTTATGTGTTTGGTATTGCCTTTCTGTACTACCTTACAAGGAACCTCCATCGTACTTTTCTGCCTTTCCTCTAGAGATGATATCTTCAGGACCTTCTTCCGAAGACGTCTCTGACGGCGACTTTCGTCAGAGACTAGACTTTTCCCGCTTCCTTCGCAGCTTTCGTCGACTCTCGAGCCTCAAGCTTGGGACATCCAGTGGTGCCAATATTGTGGTCGGGGCTATCGCAATAGTGGCAAAGGTCGTGTTTGATTTGGTAGGCTTTGCGAGCTGTCTTCTCTTCATCGGTCTTCGCACGACGCTTTGCTTCTACGTCCTTCTTAGTCCAAACGAGTCTTCCAGCAACTTTCATCATATCGAGCTCCATCGGGTCTTCGTAAGCAGTAGCAGTAGCAGTAGAGGCAGTAGGCGTCGGGACTGTATAGGGGGTAAGAGCCATGGAAGCGAGCTTGGTAGGCTTGGTCTTGGTGAAGTGTTCGCCGAAGATCTTTCTACAGTTGCGGTCTTGCTCTCGGACAAGGTTGACTAGGTCGTGGGGGGACATGTCGTCGCTATATCGGCCGCTGGAGAGGACTTGAGCATGAATGCGTCTGTCCATATTCTGCATGAGAAGGTCAATGACAGGGAAGCCTTCGTTTCCAGAGGCAGACGCCAGTGCTAAGAACGAGCTTAGAAATTGGTCAGTAGGGCGAAGTCCCTGAGTCTCTTTTTTCAATAGCTGCCAGCTGTCTGACTTACTATAGACATTACCAAAGGTTCGGCGTAAGACATCGAGCATGTCGTCGACCGATGACAAGCTTACTTTGAAGGAGCTATCGTCGTTAATGTGAGGGTCGATGTGTTTGCGAGCATCTCCTTCCAAAGTACTCAAGACATATGCCATCCTACTTCTCTCAGTAGTCCACCAGTCAGCGTTCTCGGCTAACTTCAGCTTCAGGTCGATAATGTATGTATGAAGTTCGGCAGCTGAGCGTCGCGTGCCGCCGAATCGTTGAGGGTCAGCGTAAGGTTGTGACCGAAGTGTTAGAGGGGGTGGGTAAGCGTGAACTTGTGGTAGAGGCTGAGGTTGAGCTTGGGGTTGGGCATAGACTTGAGGCTGGGCTTGAGTTTGAGCTTGAGCTTGAGCTTGAGCTTGATTCAAGGCTTGGCTTGTGGTATGAAATTGAAGTTGCATAGCGTGAAGTTGGTTTCGTAGCTCTGCGGTCGTATTCTGTTCTCTCTCAAGGTCTGTGATTGCTTCTTCTTCGTCGCGACGAGAGGTAGCGTATTGGACTTGAAGTTGGTCGTGCTTGTTGAGGAGGTCTTGTAGGGCGTTACGAATACCATCCGGGTCATTGGGAATAGTAGTAGGTTTACTGATGAGGTTTCGAAGTTGCTCAATCGTGTAACCTCCTTCTGGTGGTGGTGGTAGCTGGTGGTTGTCGCGGGAGGTGGACGAGGTGAATGGGTTGAGGAAGCTAGGCAAGCCGGTATTGGCTGCCCATCCTTCGAACCCGTTGTTGTTGCTAGTACTCATCTTGAGGTGTTTGCAGTACGATGGCGATGCCTGTCGTACGACAAAAATTGAGTAAAGGGCAGACAATATGTCAGGGTGTATGATTAGATTGTCTGCGAGGAGAGAAGAGTTCTCCAAGCAGAAGTGCTACTTATCTATCTACAGTGCCTTGTTTCCCGAAATCTACCCGACACCAAGCCTCGAATTCACTGAATCAAATCTGTTACAGGGGGTTCGCTTATTTTAGAGGGTATTATTCTCGGAAGGTAGAGGCGATGTAACGAATACTCAAACTGGCTAACTAAACTTGGCTGGGTGTTCGCTGGTTGGTATGCTATGATAAGAAGAAGACTATCGGGTTGTTCACTTGGAAGTGAACTCGTTACTTGTATCAAAGATGTC